TCAATAATATAAATGCGGGTGTAATATAAGCCCGATGATAAAGCTGGCAATTTCTCCAAAACACATTTATTTCCCGCAACATTTGAGGTAATGCAAAGATATTCAACTCCCTCTTCATTCATTGTTTCAACATGGTATCCGTTCATTCGGACATCTTTAAAACTCAACAAATTTCTTGTTGATTTCGGGGAGAATAATGCATCATTCAATGTAAACTTTGTACCTCCCATCATAAAAATATGGCTTTTCCAGAACCCTCAATTATCTTTGCATTTCCAGATATTGTGTTTACTTTTGCTTTATTTAACTTCAAGTTGACAAAATATTTTCTGTCCTTGAGTATAGTATGAATTGTGGCACAATCTGCAAGACATATATCTCCATTTTGAATTCGAGACCGATCCATGATCTAAAAGAAAACAACATTATTATTGATCAAATTTGAAATACACATACAACTAGTACAAATACGCAAATACAACAAAAAAAACTTAGAAAGCAAGAAAAGAAACAGGATAATCAGTTGTTCTCTTGGTCATTTCCAGCTCTTTCTTCAAATACCGCATCAGCAAAATCCAAGTTCAACATGTCATCGATGCCATAGTCATCATCTACACGTGTTGTATTATTTTCAGAGGATTCCCCAACTATAAAATTAGTTTCTACATTTTTATCTTTTGATTTCTGGGAATCATTATATTTATGAACAACGTGTTTCGGAGCACGACAGTTTCGTGCCCAATGTCCCGTCTTTCCACATCGATAACATGCATTTTCATTATTATTTTCCGTCACATTATTTTGTTCAAATTTTGGCTGGAAATTTCTCCCCCTTTCATAATTTTGGACATAGCCACGACCTCGTCCACGATAATTCCCTCGGCCCGAGTTGTACCCTCTGTGAAATTTGAAGCCTTGGTCAAATCGGCGATCTGGGCCATATCCACGGCCACGGCCACGTCCACGTCCACGACCCCGACCACATCCCGAGGTATTTCCACGCACATATGTCTGGCTGTTTTCAGTTCTGGTTCCCTGTTTAGATATTACAACATTTATTTCAGGGACCGCAGTAGACCCCGTGGGTCTAGATTCATGATTTTTCATCAACAACTCGTTATTTTGTTCAGCCAACAACAAACAAGAAATCAACTTAGAATATTTTACAAAGCCTTTTGCTCTGTATTGTTGCTGCAATAGTACATTTGAAGCGTGGAACGTGGACAACGTTTTTTCCAGCATATCATAATCAGTTATGTTTTCTCCGCATAATTTCAATACCGAACAAATGCGGAACATGGCCGAATTGTACTCGTTAACAATTTTGAAATCTTGGAACCGTAAATGCATCCATTCGTAACGAGCCCGGGGGAGAATCACCGTTTTCTGGTGATCATACCTTTCTTTCAAGGCTTTCCATAGATCTGCAGGATCTTTAACAGTAAAATATTCATTTTTCAAAGCCTCATTCAAATGATGCCTCAGAATCATTGCTTTAGTTTTATCCTGTATTGATGAATCATTTGGGGATATTATTGTTTTTTCCAATCCCCTTGCCGCCAAATGAATTTTGGCATTCAATGTCCATGAGATATAATTTTTCCCAGAGATATCGAGAGCTTCGAATTCGAGTTTGACCAGATTTGCCATGATAACTATAAAATAAAACATCAATGCTGAGATTCGAAAAATTACACATATAATCATTAATTCTTCAAGACGTACACAAGAGCAAATACTAAACACATTATACAAAGGCCTAATACATAAAATTTAAATCCAATAGTACGATACATCATTTTAAAAATTAGGAAAACATATATAATAAACAAGATAATGGTAATTATAAGTAATGGATCAATTTATTTTTTTTTTTTTTT